TCAAGGATTATACCACGGCTTGAGGCTCATCGGCAGAGTAAACACTGCGTCTGCAAACAGCTGATCAAACTCACACCAAACCTCGTTCAGATGGCTGCGATCGGGGCTCAAATCTGCCTAATTATAGGATGATTGGTGTGGGGATATTTGAACCTATCAAATTTGTTCGATTCTAGTGGTGTGTCCAAGATTGCATATAGAGGTCACATACTTCCATACTATACTCAAAAAATATTACTTCTGCTTTTGCAAAGAACTGACAATATTGACACTCTCTGCAATTTTGAGTATGCAATAGTCAACATTTGAAGTTGATCAAAAAAGATTTTTTAAAATCCTCCTAAGACAAGAATGGGAGTTGATCAGTAGATTTAGGACAACTTTGATGAAAGATTTGGATTCACTTCAAATGTTGACTACTATACACTCACCGGCCACTTTATTAGGTACAGCTGTCCAACTTCTGGATAACGCAAATGTCTAATCAGCCAATCACATGGCAGCAACTCAATGCTTTTAGGCATGCAGACATGGCCAAGACAATCTGCAGCAGTTCAACCTGAGCATCAGAATGGGGAAGAAAGGTGATTTAAGTGACTTTGAATGTGGCATGGTTGTTGGTGCCAGACGGGCTGGTCTGAGTATTTCAGAAACTGCTGATCTCCTGGGATTTTCACGCACAATTTGGTGTCAGCAACATGAAAGCATGGATCCATCCTGCTTTGTATCAACGGTTCAGGCTGGTGGTGGTGGTGTAGTGGTGTGGAGGATATTTTCTTGGCACACTTTGGGCCCATTAGTACCAACTGAGCATCACGTCAACGCCACAGCCTACATGAGTATCGTTGTTGACCATGTCCATCCCTTAATGACCACAGTGTACCCATCTTCTGATGGCTACTTTCAGAAGGATAACACGCCAAGTGCGAATCATCTCAGACTGGTTTCTAGAACATAACAATGAGTTCACTGTACTTGAATGGCCTCCACAGTCACCAGAGCTCAATCCAATAGAGCACCTGTGGGATGTGGCGGAATGGGAGATTCGCATCATGGATGTGTAGCCAACAAATCTGCAGCAACATCTCTGAGGAATTTTTCCAGTACCTTGTTGATTATATGCCATAAAGCAATAAGGCAAAAGAGGGTCCAACCCGGGACTAGTAAGGTGTACCTAATAAAGTGGCCAGTAAGGGTATTACAATATT